CACCCTCTTAATTTGGACAGGAAGATGCAACAGATAGACTGTCATAAAATATAAAATGAGAACAAAATAAGCATTTCTATAGAAATCTCAGCAAAGAATAAATGAGGGGGAGCAGCCCTATACTCGGCCAAGTTCAACAGAACATGACAAATTCAGGATATCTCAGTTACATTACAGGCAACAACCCTATACTTTGCCTCTGCTGAGAATTTAGAAATTGTTTCTTGTTCTTCACACACAAAGATATAAGATTGGAGCCCAGAAACACTGCAAAACACAGTACCAGAACATTGACTAATAGGATATCTGGCTCAGTTTTCATCTGAGTAAACGACAACCTAAAAACTGGATGGGAAAGCACTATGAAAAGACCAAAGGTGATGGTTCCTTTTCCCTATAAGCACATCGAAGTGCACTTCTTGCATGCAGAGAAGTTCAACGAGAACCATGCATCATAAACTAGAGACAAGATTCACAGTATATGCAATATCAAGACAAGTCAAATATTGCTGGTGCTATGATATTCATTGGATTCTGAATGCGACTCAATATCCTCAAGAGAAATAAAAAGGCAAGAGCAATAGGAGTATGAACAGAGTACAGGCTTGCAAGTTTATATGTGGAATTTTAAGCAGTATTTCAGAAATATGTTTAAGCTAAGACATGAAGATTAATGAAGTAAACAGATAGTTATTTGTTCAAAAAAAAAAAAAAAAAAAAAGAGGGGAAAACACACAAAACAATGCTGGACAAAATAGCAGGAGCCGATGGGTGACGGTGAGAGGAACACTGAAGATGGCTAAAGTGGGGAGAAGATAAGGATTACATCTAAAGAAGATAGAGATGAGGGTCTTATAGCTAATCTGATAGAGGATGTAGTTGTATATGGCTTGGCTATCTGCAGATCTTATGCTCGTCTGTTTAACAAACTTCATTACAAATAATTGTACTTGGAGCAGGATATCATATACATGCATAATATCTTAGTCTAATTAATTAGGTGGCCTAACATGTACTCGCTCTGTTTCAATTTATATGACACTTTTCGCTTTTCGAGATTCAAACTGTGTGCACTTTGACCAACATCGTAAATTGCATTTTTTCATCATATTGACACAAGAAGAGCAAATTACAGTACTTTTTGTATAGTTTTTGGATATCCAAATTTTAGCTTTAAAATATGGAGTCGATCTAATCCAATTTGCTTCAAAGATTAGTCAAATTGACTCTCGATAAGCGAAAAAGTGTCACATAAATTGAAATGGAAGGAGTAGTTGTTTGAGGGTGCCTCCTTGTTGGGTTATTTGATAGAGAACAGAGAGCAAAGTTCGTGTAAATTGATACATCTTATTTTGTCATTCAAGGTCGGATATTCATAATAAGAAAACTACAGCTTCCTTCTTCTTTTTATTGCTAACTTTTGGACTTGTTACAACTGAATTTTGAAAAATTAAAAATAACAGCCAATGTTAACTTATTCAAAGAATTGAGCTAACTTCATGCTGAATGTCTCCATTGCTGGAACAAATATGCTTACTCTTCACAACTATCGGCATACCGTTAGAATTTTACTTCATTATTAGGTATAAAGGAAGGCAAGAGTAGCTGGGAATTTGAAAACAAAGAGCAATATTCTTGAGAAACTGATATTCTCTATCAATTCAAAGTCAGATATTTATAGGAAGAAAAACATTCTTTCTGTTTTTGTTGTCATCTTGTGGACTTGTTTCGACTGATTCTGCAAAAAAGTTAGAAATGATTGTGCTAACTTTTTCCACTTATTGAGCTAAGCTTGTTCCAAATTGTGAGCTCCTGGTAAAAAAATTCACTATTGGAACTATTATTCGATCCGCCTTTTCAGCTTATTATTTGCTTGGACGAAAACTGTGATTTCAAGGGCTTATCTGCTGTAGGTTGCACATTGACCCATTTCTTGATCCAACTCATCATAACAAAGCAAGTTTCACATTTGTTGGATCGTGTCCTTTTCATTAATTCAGCCTATTCAACCCTCCCAAATGTGATCTGACCTGCACATTTCTCACCAATTTCATATGTAAGGATCTGAAAACATAATTCTTGAAAGGTAGTTTTTTAGTTTCGTTGTCATAAAATAGGTTAATATCACATGAGCTAAACACTACATATGACCAAATAAATGGGAAAATTTTGCTTTAAACATGTTTAATTTGTACTTGCTTTCATGATGTATAATATTCCACATATTGATTCATTCTTTTTAGAAAATTCATCATCCGGATATTCCATAAATGTGTGATATAAGTCTAAAAACAATTTGCACCATAGCAAAAAGAAACAGAAAGTAAATTGATAAAAACTTGCATGAGTTGCAGTTTTGGCAAAACTTAGTGTTGGCCGGATTTTAAACTTTCAACAACTATTTTCAAAGCATGTTTTTTGGGGATGGTACATAGCCGTATCCAATGCCAAAGACATAATAGTAAAAGCCTCCTGGTTTATATTTCGTCCTGTGTTCTACAGGATCCAATATTTTATGTTTTGGGGTGATCAAAGAAGGATTTAAAGAAGTGCTCTCCTTCTGGGAAACCCTGAGGAAGCACTAGCAGTTGGACGTGGGAGTTCATGATATACACCAATTCCAGCCGAAAATGTTCCAAATCTACTAATAAATGTTAATAACTTGTTGTAGTGAACAATCTTGATTTTTGCCAGAGAAGTTAATGTGAAATGACCTCTCCTGAATAAGTTTGCGGTAGTAGTCTTAATGGAACATAAGTTTGTCGACTTAGCCAAGTACTCCCTCCATTCCAGTTTGTGTGACATTATTTCCTCGTTAGTCAGCTTGAAGAAGAATGACGCATTTATATATTTGGAAACATAACTTTAAACTTCCGTTTTAGCCTTAATTAGAATGTTATGACATATTTAAGACTATAAGTTTCAAAAGTCTTAAAGCCATTAATGTTATGGCATGTTTAAGGCCATAAGTTTCACTCCGTCATGAAATGGAGGTGTACAAAAGTAAGCACTTGATGACGGATTATAAACAAAAACATCATGTGAAGGTTTTGGAATCCTTTTTCTTTTACAGCCACACAAAGTTATGGCGTGTTTTAAGACCACAAGTTTCAAATGTCTTTCATTCTTTATTAAACTCCGTCTTGAAACGGAGGGTGTACAAAATAAGAATGATGACAGATAACAAGCTCAAATCATGTGAAGGCTAGTTCCAAAACCCCTCTACAGGTCTTAATTAATATAAAGTTGTATGCGAAAGTATGATTAGGCTATTTGGGCATAGCAAGCTTTTAGAAGGGTGTTTCTTCAATCAAGAGAAATATTCCTATTTTATTCTTTAGTGATCTGTGCTTGTTCTTAATACAAGTTATCCATCTATGAGACAACTTCACAATTTTTGCTTACGATGGCATGGAAATTGGCAGGTTGTATGCTTTCTATTCTTGTTCGTCATTAATTCATTATATTTGCAACACCTGAAGGCTAATGAACTAAGACGTCAAAACAGACTTGTACACTCTCAAGTAACATCTGTATAAAGTAAATGGAATGAATCATGTAATATCTTATAAATTAAGCTAAGCCCAACTTAAAAAGGTCCAAAAATGACTTATTTAGGATTTCTCCTTAATGTTTTAAACCTCACCGATTAAACGGCTTCACAAATTAAAGAATTCAAGTTTTCATGGACCTGCAGGACTGAAATACAATAGTGTAGCATCAGTAACTAAAATGTTGTTTCTGAACTTAATCTTCCCAACAGAAGGGAGGAGAGGCAATGAAATGATTATTTGATCATAAATTCAGCGTGAAGATGATAATCTCATAGCCGATGCAGTATTTCCCTGAAAAATGGTTCTGTTATTCTGCTATTTGCTTGCTTTTAGTAACTTCGTTCATTAGAAATAATTTTATCCATGATTCAACTTAATAGTACATTGACTTCAATATCATCCTATTTGTTACAATGTCCCACATTGGTTGAGGAATGAGCTGTTATCTCTTTAAATGATATTGGACAATACTCATCTCATGAGCTAGCTTTGAGGTAAGTTATGCCCAAGATTCATTCTTTGTATCAGAGTCAGACCCATCCGTATTCTTGATTTTACCAATATTGGAGCTCCTATTTAATATTGTTCATGCTCCAAATGTCCCACCTTGTGTGTATGGGCTGTTAGAATGTCTCACATTGGTTGATGAATGAATCGTTGTCTCTTTATGAGCTAGTTTGTGGGGTTGAATTAGGTTCAAGGTTAATTTTCTTTACACTGTTGTTGTCTGTCAATGAAGTTTCAATCTTCTTTCGTTATAAGATAGCTGACACAAAGTATTTGTTAAGCATTGAATGCTAATCAAAATTCACTTGTTTTTGGCTTTGCAGGAATTCGACTCATCATATGGTATTGTATCGTGGGAACTAGCTTTGGTTCGTATGTCACACATTCCATAGGAGGTTTCTTGTACTTGTCCATCGATAAGGTCTATATATGTTCTTCTATTCAGGACTGCTGTTTAGATCATTGACAGTATCGGAAATTTTTGTAGTAACTAGAATTGTCGTCCAGAAATTCCTTTAACCGTATAATAATTTTGACATAAATAAAGAATCCAACCAAACATCCCTTAACGTGTACAATTTAAACAAATAAATTTATCAAATATCCCTCAATTACATCTCTAATGAGACGCAGGACATTTAAATTGGTATTGACATACTAGTTTCAATTGGTGTACATGATGACAAGTATATCCAAGTTACCGTGTGAAAATATTTCTCTTTTCTCATTCTACCAAATATCAACTCCATGGACATGCAAATTTCACAACATATACATACCTGAGGGGGAAGAACAAAACACAGCAATGATAAAAACTCCTTCACAATCAGGGGAACCACCCCATGAAGCTATGTTCTTAGTCTTGGCTTATCTCCCTTTATTTGAACTTCTGTCTATGACTCAAGTTTGCAGGCCATTAAGAGATGCTGACATACTGCTATGGCTGAATATCAGCCATTAAATACTCGTCTTTCTGATGATTTTCTGACGTCCAAGGCAAATAGTCGTCTGACAATTCTTGCTCTCATAAATTGCTTTAAGATAACGGATGATGGGCTTCTACAAATCATTGCCAGTAATCCTCATATCAGCAAGGTATGTTAGTTTGTTTATAAGGAAATGGTAAATGGATAAGATGTGGTTGTTGGTGGTCTTTTTTAATATCTTCCCCTTTTCTCCTTGTTTTTTTCTTTAAAATTTTTTAATATAGTACTAGTTAACTAATCAAGTGTGCTGAATAATGAATTTCATAGGTTTGAATTTCAGTTTCAATTTCTGTTATATTGTAAAAAACTCGCTTGATTCTTGAAGTGCACACAGTTTTCTTGAATTTGTTTGATGAGTCAGAAACCATATCCATGCTTTAATGATGTCAACTCTAGATTTTCCAGGCGGAGGAAAGGAAATAAAATCTCCGTTCCAGTCTTCATTTTTATTTCCAAACTCAGTTCTAGTCAATCAACGTCACATAAATTGAATGTGAGGCAGAAGGTAGTATAAATTACATCTGCCCTGAATTCTATGTTCTTTTCCACCTTTTTCCAGCTCTATTTACGAGGGTGCACAGGCTTAACCATTGAGGGAGTACTTGGAGCAGTGAAGTTACTTACCAAGGGTAACTACAACTTAACGAGCTTAAGTATTTCTGGCATCTATAATGTGAAGAGAGAGGACTTTGAGACACTTGGTCATCTAATGGGTATAAACCAGATGCAAAAGAAAGAAGGAACAAAGAACTTGTACCACAGGCGAAACGAACCATCCAATTTTAGACTAGAATCTCAGCCTTCAATCGACGTAGATATCTGTCCGAAATGTGGCGAAGTAAGAGAAATCTTTGACTGTCCTAGAAATCTTGTAAAGCAGCTTATAGAGTGCAGGGGCTGCTTCCTGTGTCTCCCGAGGTGTGAAGAGTGTGGTGTATGCACCAAAGATGAAGAAGAAGTAGGTGAAGCAGCTTGTGCAGATATACTGTGCTTGGATTGTTGGCTTCAGCTTCCAAAATGTAGTTTCTGTAACAAGGCATACTGCAATCAACATGCTTACCAGCAGTCCCTATATCCCGACTCTTCAGGTTTTCTGTGCAGTGATTGTAAATTTCATGCAACACAAACTTCACATGATTGAGATTGTTTATAATGCTGCAGAGGCGATGAGATGTATTCTTTTTTTTCGGTAAATAAAAGTTTTTATTACTAACGGCGGCAATCCGTACACGTAAAAAAAAAACTGCAGAGTGACATTTCCGGTCTGCGGCGACTACAAAGTTACTTCCAATCACTACTACAACGACTGTGCTGCCAGAGTCCTACTAGAAAGGGAAAAAATTTAGCTTATCTAGAATCTTAGCTAACCTACTAGATGTTTTATACTTCAATACCACATTAGAGGGGTGGTTTGTGTGGTGTCCAATTTTTCGAGTGTACAGATTATAAAAGGACCTGGTTTTTCTATGTGTTCCTTATACTACTGTTGCGGAATAATAAATGCAGAAAGTAAAGAATACAAGGATTTTTTCATGGAAAACTCCCGGCTCAAAAGGTGAAAAACCCACGACCTACTATCCAGTAGGATTTTCTCCAAACACTTCACTACAACTCTGAGCCAACAACAAAGTTTACAAACTCTTGCAAACCTAAGGATTAACTCTAACTCTTATAGCAACCAACCACAGGTTGTTGCGAATGCTTCAAATTAACTCTAACTTGAACAATACAACTCGAGTTTACAACCTTTTGCAAACCTAAGGATTAAGTTTAACCCTTATAGCAACAAGCCACAAGTTGTTGCGACTACTTCAAGTTAACTCTAACTTGAAAGATACAACTCAAGTACCTAGTACAATTTGCTTCTAAGAAAGCTAAAAGGTACAACTCAAAATGCTTACTACACTTTGAACAAGAAATAAATAAAGACACATAAAACTCTTTATGGAGCTGGTTCTTCAATCTAGTTCGTGTAGCTTCAGGATCGCACTTTTAAAACTCACAGGAATTGCTCAAAAAATGCCTTGCTTTTTTGCTCTCAATTCTTGCTTAACTTCAGTATGTGTGCATCACCTGTAAAAGAGAACAACACTGATATTTATATAGTTAGTAAATAAAGATTAACTAGAGTTCTAAAGTTTTACTCTTCCTTGGTGAAATAGTTCTAGTCAACTTTAACTTCTAATTCTTCCCTTATCTTGGATAGAGTTTTCTTCAAGTAAGGAGTCCTGCTCCTTATCAAATATGCAATCTTTTTGTTCAGGGAATATCATATATAACCACTTATACTTATCCCTTTTACGTGCAAGTCTTTTGTTTAATTCCGTACGTCACCTGTGTATACTGTCCATGGACCTGGTTCATGCATGTGTTCATTTTTCAATCATCAAAACAAACTTACTCAAGCCAACAAATTCCCCCTTTTTGATGATGACAAACTTCGTGCTTTTCATATGCATGAAACCTGTTTCAACTCAGCTCAACATCAACACACTATTAGAGCACTTTCTATTTTAAAGATACAAATCATCAATGACTAGGTTCATTAGGTTATAAACATCACAGCCCAAAGCAAAAACACACCTTATCTTCCCATTTTTGGCATCATTGAAGAGTTGTATAATTAAGTTAATTAACTAGATTTTAATAGATATCACTCATGGCCACTAGAGCTACTTCAAATGCAATCACGGATTTAGTTTTCTTTTCTTTCAATCTAAGGATATTAGCCATCTAAGAAATATCAACAAACAGTTAGAGCAAAAGTAGTGAATTTAATTGATTGATAAGATCCCACCACAAGGCATAAGAAGAAACAAAACCATAGGGTATGGCATGAGTTTTGGCGCCATTTAGAACCCTGTCAAAAAGCTGAATTATAAACCTAGGCCAATTTATTTGCCTCCCACTGTCCAAACATTCCATAAGGACCAGGTCCATGAATGTTGCAAATTTGCCTCCTTTCCTGCCTTGGAAGCACACATTTGTTTATAAATTCGAACAACACTTTGTAGGTTGGCTTCATATCACTTTTGTAAATAGCCTTGGGCTCAAGTTCCTCCTCATTGTCACTAAATTTCCTAGTAATGGAAAGGGCAGTAGGGAGATTCTCTAGGCTTAGCCATTTGAGCTTCTTATAGTCATTGTACCCTTCAACAGGTACCCCCCAAGATCTCTCCAAGCTCTTTCTCATCAAAAGTCATTGTCACCCCCTTTACCACACTGGTGACGCTACCATCCTTGATCTCACAATTTTTCATAAACTTCACAATTTCAGTTCTGGCCAGCCTTCCATCCATCTGAAGGACCATTTCTTTCCAGCCTTGCAACTGTAACTTCTCCAGAAGCATCATCATTCCTTCCTCCTCTAATTCCCTGAGGAGTCTACCTTTCAAGATGGTTCTCTTCCCAAACTTAACCATCTTGTCCTTATCAGATTCTTCTTTTTCTTCTCCAGTCCATTCTTCTTCCTCCACCATTTTTATCTTTTTTTATTTCACAGCAGACATGGTTCTTTTAGCCAAAGTGGATAGCTCAACTGACTTTGTCTTTGAAATAGACGTCTTTGGGGAAGTCTTGGCTTTCTTAGCTTTTAGAGTCACAGTGTCCACTTCTTCTGTCTCATCTTCATCCCGAAGGACCAGGTCCATCTCATCAAGTTCAATAGCCTCAACAAGCTCAACTATCTTCTTCTTTCCCTTAGCAGCAACTTTTCTTTTACTTTCTTCTAAGGCTTTCTCCAGTTCAGCCTCACTCTGCTTATTCTGACTCCTAGTAGCTCTTCTTCTTGTGGGAGGAATTTCTACAGGGATAGAAGAGGCATCCTTCCTTTTCTTGTTGCCTCTGGCAGTGCTAGGGGTTTTAACTCCTGAACATTGTTTCTTCTTTGGATTGTAACTTTCAGTCACTCTTTTCAGTAGGTCTGCGAGGGTCTCCTGTTAAGATGGAACAGGTTCATCTACATTTTTCCCTAGTTGAACCATCCCCTCAGTAGCTTCTCCAGACCTACTTTCCCCTGTTTTTCTCACGCTCTCCTCTATTTCAGCAAATTCCTCACCCTAAAACCACCATAGCACCTGATTCTTTAGTTAGACCAATAGGAGTGGGTGAAGAACCAACCACTCCTTTTCCATTACCCCTCACAATACTCCGAGCACCCTCACTCTCCTTTTCTTTTTTTTTTTCATTTTTACCACCAACCCTTCTAGACTTAGTAGTTTTGACACCTGCTATAGGTCCTACCAGCACAAACCTATTCTCCAAATTCATCGCAATTTTAGAAAAAAAATAAATAATTTCTAACCCAAAAGTTACCTGCTCAGTTCCAGATGAAACTGGTTCTTCCCCCGCAGTCGCAGACTTGAATGACTCATAAGATTTTTAGGGTTCTTCTTCTTGGCTAGCTTGTAGCGTCTCACTCAATTTCTTAGCTTGTTCTCTACTGGCCACTGTGTTACATGCAATCATTTTGATATGCCTTTTCTTGGGAGTTTGGGTGGTTGAAGGTGTGGGTGAAGGTTTTTTGGGTGGTGAGGAAGGGTTTTCAGAGTTTTTTGGGATTCTCATGGGTATTTCCATTTGATCAGTTCAGAAACTTGAGATAAATGGAGAGAGTTTGGTTTTGAAGAATTTGATCTTTCAAAATAAATTGAGATAAGAGGGTAAGGTCAGATCAATTTAAAGATGGAAAGTTTGAGTGTATAACGATACCTTTTTGAAGTCTATAGGTCTAATCACATTGAAAGTTTCAGTTTGAAAAGATATTCGACTCTTCTCCAAATATTTCGGCAATAATGGTGCGTGGGCCTCTTGATGAAACTGGTTCGTTTGTAACTAATTGGTTCAACAATAGTTTGGATAAAGTGAGACTCTTTTCAGTTCATGATCCATATGCAATTATTTCAAATTATGCTGAGTGTAGAATACATACCTTATACGCTCGATGAACCAGGTTCTTCACTGAAAGTTCTCTTGTGTAAGACTGATTTTTTCCAAGAAAATAAGGATAATATCATTAGACATCAGTGAGATATTTTAGCACATGGCACAAGAGTATACTAATAAAAGCATGAGATTGAGTAATATCTAATCTAATTATTCAGAAAAATCACAAATTATCTAACCAATCATTGAGTTAGAACCTTAATGCTAACTTGTTCCTTTCAAAGTGATCCCTACTTAAAGCATTTGTGAAGATGTCAACAATTTCCTTATCAGTAGCACAATATTCTATTATGATCAACACCTCTCAAAATTATCCCTTTAAAAACGATGCCCAACATCTATGTGCTTAGTTCTTTTGTGATGGACTGGGTTCTGGTCATACTAATTGCATTAGTTTAATCACAAAATATGGGGATGAAACCTACATTAATTAAAAGTCCATTAATTGCTCTTTGATCCACAACAATTGAGCACAACATGAGGCAGCAACAACATACTCAGCTTCAGCAGTAGATAATGCCACATAGTTTTGCTTTTTGGTGGCCCAAGACACAAGACATGAGCCAAGAAAGTGTATCATACCTGAGGTGCATTTCTATCCACAAAAAAAACCTGCATAATGAGCATCGACATATTCCACTAGGTTGAAATTACTACCTTTTGGATACCATAGACAAAGGTCAGTGGTGCCTTTTAGGTATCTCAAGATCCTTTTGACATCAGTCAAGTGAGACTCCTTTGGATTTGCCTGAAATCTAGCACAAAGGCCTATAGTGAAAATAATGTCAGGACTACTAGTAGTGAGATATAACAAAGAGCCAATCATTCCCATATACATCTTCTGATCAGAAGCTATAGGACAATTTACTAGAAAGAAGCATAGTCCTAGACATTTCTTCCAATGTCCTATTCTTTCTTTCAACTCTTTATTTTGTTGTGGAGTCCTAGGAGTAGAAAAATTATGATCTATGCCATGCTCATCACAAAATTCAGCAAATTTAGCATTTTTAAATTCAATACCATGATCAGACCTAATTGATGCAAGTTGATTACCTAGTTATTTTTGAGTTTTCTAACAAAAGAAGTGAACATGTCAAATGCTTCATCTTTGGATATTAGAAACAGTATCCAAATAAACCTAGAGTAATCATCAAGAAGCACCATAACATATCTCTTACCACATCTGCTCAAGGTTCT